TCCTTCCTGCTGTCGACCTCTCTTCCAGTCTCCAGTCTCCTTCTACTTCGCTCCTCCCCTCTCCATCCCTCCCCGCTTCCTCTTGCTCCATCAACCTTGTTGTGGATTTTCCTCAAGTCCATCGGCCGTTTGATCTCCTTCTGGTACTCCTTGCCCGACACTGGATCCCGGAAATGCTCGAAATCCTTGATCTGGAGGAGACTGACCGTGGTCTCCCTGAAAAGCAAGAGAGGGTCAATAATCCTCCTCCTCCTCCTCCTCCCCCTCCTCTTTCCAAGTCCCCGTCCTCCTCCTCTTTCTCCTTCTTTTCTCTTTCCTCCTCGTTCCTCGTCCTGCTCTTCTTCCTGTTTGCTCCACCTCCACCACCACCACCACCACCTCCTCCTTTACTTGAAGATCTCGGAGATCTGTATCATGGCCTCAGCCTCCGCGATCTCCTTCTTCCGACTGCGCAGCACACCTTGACAGATCTAACAGGCGACAGTCAAACGACTACAGAAGGGAAGCAAACTGTCTAACATTCTTGAGCTCCATTACGTCGTGCACCAGCATCATATCCGCTACGTTGTAAGTTTTGCAGTTCTCAACCCTGGTGATACACCAGTCACGATCTCAAGTTTGCAACCAGCTCCAGCAGTACATGAGATCGACGTCCGCCATGTATTCATCTTTAGATTTGTACAAGCTCTCATCAATCCTGCGCAATGTGTCACCAAATACTTGCATCGCATCTCCAATATTCTTGCTGTACCTCGTCCTGATGATGTTGAGGTCAATCGGCTTCTTGATCACTTTTCTGTAGTTGGGGTTCGTTTTCGTGTCCACAGGCGACCTGTCGAGAAAATCAGATGGATGAAAGTTGAGGAGAGGAAGAGAGGAAAGAGGAAGAGAGAAGTCGTGGGAAGGGATCAGGAGAGAGAAAGCAGAGTGGGTGGGATCGGAACAGACCTCAGGAGAGCAGAGGAAAAGTACAGGGGAGAAAGAGCAGCAAGCTTCACACAGATACGAATGGAAGGAGGGAGGATAACACGCGAGGAGGAGAAGGAGGAGGAAGGGATAATGACGTCAGGGCATGCAGCGACCTGAAGGGAAGTGACTTGGGGTTGCTCTTCATGGCCTCGTTGGCAGTCTGGAAGATGCTGTTGAGGAAGGAGAGCGGGTCCTGTCGCCTCCTCTTGATACCCCTCACGCACTTCGCCTGCTCCACAGATCACGAGGGGTGAGGCGAGCATGAGAAGGAGAGGGAGAGGGAGAGGGAGAGGGAGAGGGAGAGGGAGAGGGAGAGGAAGAGGGGAGAGGGAGAGGGAGAGGGAGAGGGAGAGGGAGAGGG